GGAGGAGGTGAGGGGGGGTGCATCCCAGTGAGGTGAGGGAAAAAAAACAACAAACTACAGAGTGACAGCAGCAGAGTGAAAGTGAGAGGATGAGAGGAACAGGTAGAGAGAGGAAGAGGGAGAGAGAGAGAGAGAGGATTCTAAACGCCTGTGTCATTATGTCTTCACTTCCTGTAACTATGGCAACCTGTCAGCAGCCAATGGGGGCCAACCCCAGCCTCTTCCCCTTCCTGTCGAGGTGGCAGACGCTGACCGAGCCAGGCAGAAACACAAGAGCACCATCCAGCGCCGGTGCCGTCCGCCTCGCACCTCTGATCGGATCTGAGGTCGTTCAGTGGAAACGTCACCTCCTCCTGATGCTTGGTCGCTCCCTCCTCTTCCTCTTCCTCCTCCTCCTCCTCCTCCTCCTCCTCCTCCTCCTCCTCTTCCTCCTCCTCTTCCTCCTCCAGTCAGAGCAGCTGCTCCACAAACTGATAATTTGGCTGTTCAGCAAGACGGACGGGCGTGTGGCTACCTGCAAACGTGGAATTAAACAGCCCCCGGTGGTGGTGGTGGGGGGTGCAAGGGGGAGGGCAGCACACAGCTGGTCACACACTCACACACACACTGACACACACACAGCTTTGTCAATGTTTTCCTCCCAAATGTTAACTGTGAAATCTTTGGAAATTAATGTCTGGTTCAACCTGGGTTATTCAGGTGTGTGTGTGTGTGTGTGTGTGTGTGTGTGTTTGTTTTCCTGACTCGCCCGTCTTGGCGACTTTCACGTCGCGTCTGTCTGTCTGGCCTCGGCGTTTGCGTTGGACTCACCCTGCTCTTTGATCTGGCGGATCTGTCGGACCGTCTCTTTGAGGATGGCACACTTGTCTGGTTTGACGTTGAAGCTGTCGATGTCGCTCAGGTTGGCGGAGATCAGCTCGGCCAACTCCTCGATGTATTTACTCTCCTGCTCCCGACGCTTCCTGTCACACCTGCAGAGGGCGGCAGAGTTAAGCTGAGCTAACGCTAACCGTGAGACTAGCTGTGAAACGGTCGTCCGTTAGATTCAAATGAAAATCTGAACGTGGACGAGAGGCAAAAAAACGTCGCAAAAATCCACCCTTTTTCTACGTTATCTTTTTCTCTTCACAAAAGTCACTTTTTCACTTTTTTTTAATCCACTCGTCGTTTACACAACTCGTACCCTTCGTTACTCAATACAGAACCGGAAAAAACAAAAAATTTCCTCATGTTAAAAACCATTTTCAACCAACCAAAAAAAAAAATTTCACTTTCACTTTCACTTTAAAAACACAAAGACTGAGCTGTTTTTTTTAATACATTTTTTCAAAGAGTTTCCACAATAACACTTACAAATACAAAAATACATTTACAAATACATGTACAAATGTACAAATACATTTAAAATGAACATTAAATTTGATGCTGTTTTTTTTCAGCATGTGTTTAATTTAAATAAACCTTAAAATCACATCATCTTCCTTCTCTGCTCGTCGTGAAGTCGACAACTGAAAATTAACTTGACTTTGACTTAAGAATAAAGGTCAAGACTGAAAATTATAACTTTGACTTTGACTTAAGAATAAAGGTCAAATCAAAAAAATCAAATGAAACCATCGACAACACCATCAACAACCAGGAACACACACTGGTTTCTGTAGAAACGTTTCCTCTCTGTTTGTCAGACACTCACCCCAAACCGGGCGTATCACACGTCGAGAGCTTTCGTTTCCGGTTCTCTGAGCTCAGCGGCTCCATGGAGTTCTCCCCCAGTCCGCTCATCGTGCACACATATCAGCACCTGAGGGGTGAGGGTGAGGGTGAGAGGGAGAGGGAGGGAGACAGAAATATGTAAATAAGACAGAGACAGAGACACAGAGAGAGGGAGAGGGTTCGATTCTCCTCTCTGACTTTTCATTAATTGTTACAACTTGGAACTTTGAGCTCAGCAGAAATCACCAGGACACACTGGAAACTGTACAGTGTTTAAAATTGTTCATTGTTCACTGTTTAAAAATGTATTTTTATGATTGAAGTCTTTAAGCTGTCGACTGGACGGACAGCGATGCCTGTGGTTCATCCTCGTCCTCGTCCTCGTCTCATCTGTCCCTGGCTTTGAAGTAAGCTAACAATTAGCACCTTTTCTGTTGTGCACATTTTACGGCTAATATATATATAAATATATATTTTTTTTTTTTTTTTGCATTGATGTTTTTACATTTAATAAAACCTTAAATTCTTTGATTGCCTTCATGAATCTGTCATGTATTTACAGCCAAACCCGTGTTGACTGAAGATTGAACTTTTTTTTTTTTCCACTTTTTTTCCAGTTTCCAGTCTGTGCAGTCAGAGAGCTGCAACGTTAACATGTCTCGTCGGCCTCTTTGGAGGAAACCAGAGGATGCTGGTGTGTGTGTGTGTGTGTGTGTGTGTCTCTGTAGATAAAGCACGCTGCACAACTAACCCTGTTAGACAGCCGTCTGTCTCCCATAATGCATCACATTTTCTGTCCAGGAAATGAGCTGATAGAGGTTGAGGGGAGGAGGGGGGAGGGAGAGGGAGAGAGAGAGAAGGTGAACAGGGGAGAGAGAGAGAGAGCGAGAGACACACAGGGTGTTGTGAGGTGAGCTGTGATTGGTCACTTTCCTGCCACAGTGACAGCAGCTGACACTGGTGAGGGAGGGAGGAAGAGAGGGAGGGAGGGAGGGAGGGACGGGTGAAAAGTAAATGGCAGACTAAAAGAGAGAGAGAGAGAGAGAGAGAGAGAGAGAGAGGAGCACGAAAATAGTTAGAGACGGGAAATAAAGAGAAAACGAAAATGTCTCCATGACTTTGAAAATACTGCTGGATATTCACTAGTGTGTGTGTGTGTGTGTGATCTCAGGGGGACGTTTGTCGTCTACAAAGACGGCGACATGAACCACCCGATGGTCAGAGAGAGAATCTGGCAAAACAGTGACTTCAACTTTGACAACGTGCTGAACGGCATGTTGGCTCTGTTCACCGTGTCAACGTTTGAGGGTTGGCCACAGTAAGTTCTTCTGAGGGCACCAGGAAAAGGAAAAGTTTACATTCTTATCCTTAAAAACAATAAATAAAAAAAAATAAAGGAAGGAAATAATTTTTAAAAAACTGTTTAACGTAATCACAAACAATAACTTGAGGATTATTAAACAAATTATGGAGGAGAATTCTGTATTTTCTTACATCGACAAAACACCTCTGTCGCCCTCTAGTGGTACAACAATTCAGTGTACAGTTACTTTTGGTTGTTTTCTACGAAGCTTGTTTGATATGATATTTAATTTTTGTTCATATTTGTCTCCTCCTCTTCACCAAAGGCTCCTCTACCGTGCCGTCGACGCCAACGCCATAAACCGCGGTCCCATTTACAACTACAGGGTGGAGATCTCCATCTTCTTCATCATCTACATCATCATCATCGCCTTCTTCATGATGAACATTTTCGTGGGTTTTGTCATCATCACGTTTCGAGAACAGGGAGAGGCCGAGTTCAAGAACTGTGAGCTGAACAAAAATCAGGTCGGATGTTTGGATGATGATGCTATGCTATGATGCTATGATTTTATTTTTTTTTATCCTAACGCGTGTTTAATCTTCTTTCACCCCCGTGCAGCGCCAGTGTGTGTACTACGCTCTGAAAGCCCAACCTATAAAAATTTACATCCCCAAAAACCCATCGCAGCTCAAGTTCTGGAGAATAATCAACTCCAGTCAGTTTGAATACATCATGTTTGTGCTGATCCTGGGGAACACGCTGACTCTGGCCATCCAGGTACCGCCTCACACACACACACACACACATAAATACATTGTTATATTTGATATATATTTGACTGTTTGACTGTGTCTCTCCGTCAGCATTACGAACAGTCCAAACTCTTCACCTCCGTCATGGACATCCTCAACATGATCTTCACCGTGGTCTTCACCATCGAGATGATCATTAAACTCTTGGCTCTGCGCGCTCACGTGAGGCCTTTTCAACCAACACCAACATGAACAACAACAGTCGTCCGTCCGTCGTCTTTGTCCTGATGAGTTTTTTTTTTCCTCTCATTTTTTGCAGCATTACTTTATTGATCCATGGAATTCCTTTGATGCACTGATTGTGGTGGGGAGCGTTCTGGACATAGCAGTGTCAGAGTTCAGTGTAAGTTTGTTTCTCTGGGCAACTGAAGCCCGTTACTGTGCAAAATATATATAAATATATATATGAATATATATACAAAATATATATAAATTAAAAAATATATAAATATATACAAACATATATATAAATATAAATATGAATATATACAAAAATATATATAAATATATATATATATTTATTCCTCTTTTCTTTGCAAATTAACCTGGTTCCTTCATGTCTTAAAGAAATGTTAGCAACATGCTAACAACAACACAGCTGTTCACCTTTAAATGGTAATGAGTCAGTGCAACTACAACAGCAACAGTTCTTCACTGGACAATCAGACTCAGAGATATAGTTATTGATCCCCAGAGGAAGGGTGTTGGTGTTATAGCACCTCCTGCAGGAGCTTTTCAAAAGAGCAAATAGAAAAAAAAAAAAAAATTGAAAATATTTTGAAAACAATACCAAAAACAATAATGTTTGTTCCAAAATAAGGCACAGTGACCAAAGTAGTGTCCAGGTCAAATTTTTAAAAAATGCAACACAAAATAGCAAATCATTTTGGATGAAAAGAGCACAGATGAAACCAGACGACTGCAGAAAGATTAACAAGAAAAACGAAACCATGAAGACGTCTCCAGAGGATCAGTCAAATTCAAAGGCTGAAAAAAAAACACAAACAGGAAGTGGTTCTGTTTCTGAAGTTTCTCTGTGAACCAGAGCAGCTGTAACTGTAACCACTGTTACTACTGTAACCACTGTAACCACTGCATCAACTGTAACTACTGTAACTACTGTAACTACTGTTACTACTGTAACTACTGTAACTACTGTAACCACTGTAACAACTGTAACTACTGTAACTACTGTAATGACTGTAGCTACTGTAACGACTGTAACTACTGTAAACCACTGTATCTACTGTAACCACTGTAACTACTGTAATGACTGTATCTACTGTAACCACTGTAATTACTGTAACTACTGTAACTACTGTAATGACTGTAACTACTGTAACCACTGTAACTACTGTAACGACTGTAACTACTGTAGACTGTAACGACTGTAACTACTGTAGCTACTGTAGCTACTGTACCTACTGTAATGACTGTAACCACTATAACTACTGTAACCACTGTAACTACTGTAACTACTGTAACGACTGTAACTACTACTACAACTTCACGACATCACACGGTGTTGGCTGTGGATTACTGAAATTTGGTATGTTTTTTTTAACAGAGAATGTATTTGTGTGTAGTATTTTTTTTTAGTACTGCAGCCTGATCACAGTACACATTAACAAAGTACTGGATAAACAAACTACTACCATCTTCTACCAGTCTCTTCTACCCCTCCTTTATTTTTACTACCTTCCTCTGCTTCTCATCCAAAAAAAAAAAAGCTGGCAACTGCTGACACCAACCACAGGGGGCGATAAAAAAAAAACAACTCAGAAAAGAAAGTTGTAAAGATGAGAACTGAAACGTTTCAGAGCTCGGTGTGCGACCACGGACGGGTCCTCAGAAGGGCCCGACTCTGGCGGCAGAGTGAACGCCGTCGCCGCCCTGGAGGACGGCTGATTAGGACGTGGCTGAATGCCCCAGGGAAATGGGTCACCTCCAGCCTGACGCGGGCCGCCCGCTTTTCTAGTGCAGAGAGAAAGTCAATTACACGCCACAGGCAGCGAGGTCTGGTGGCACCGCGGCAGCAGCGGGGGGCGCGGGGAGGAGGCGGTAGAGCGGGGGCCGCGGGTAGGAGGCGCTAGAGCGAGGAGCAAAATGGGAGACGGTGACGGTGGAATGTGGGGATTTGAGGGGAAGAGGTGGGCAAGAAGTTGGCAATCTGGAATGGAGAGGCTGCACGAGCGGAAAAGAGAAAAATGTTTTTTCTTTTTTCACGAGCCGACGGTTGAAGTGAAGACGAAGCTGAAGACGGAAAAAAAAAAAGAAATCTCAAAATCAGGACAAATTATTTGTGTCTGGTTTTTAAACCTCACTAATTACCTGACAGAAAATAAACTGGGAAAAATTGACCTGAAAATAAAACCTACTTTTACATTTAATAACCCCCCCCCATGACAAAAAAAAACCCCGGCCTGTTCTGTGCAGCTATTTAAAGTGGTGTTTGTCAAACGATGGGATGGAAGTGAAAAGTGGGTCACATGACAAAGACTACAACAGTTAAGAGTTTTAAACTCTCTCTCTCTGAACTTCAGTTTCATTTGTTTCAAAAACAGTTTCATCTTCTACGAGATGAAGGGAGAAAAATAAAAATGTTGAAATGAACCTTTAAAATCAGACTAGAGTTTTTATTATTAACCACCTGGTCTGACTGAAGCAGGAACCAGGAGACAACAGTCTCAGGTAGGTGACGACCGCTGACCTTTCACACTGGCCAGAGGAAGGCTTGACCTCACCCTCAACCCTGAACCTGCCCCTAGTGGTTCTAAGGGGTCAGTGCTTCAAGTCCACAGTTGACCCCCCCCCCCCATATTTTCCGGGGCAGTAAATGTTGGTGAAAGGAGGGAAACTCAGGGTAAACTCTGCTGCAGCTTCACCTGAGCTGGAGGAAACATCTCAGGGGTCTCAGGAACCTGCCTGTGACCCCGGGGGGGGGGGGGGGGGGGGCGCGCGCCTGCACAACGCGAAACTCGAGTGACGTCGACTGTTACGGCACCACCTCCAGGCCGCGGCCGTGGCAGATGCGTGACGACTTCTCACACTGACCTCTGACCCATGAACTGACCGGGCCGGGATCTGACGGCGTGATTAGCAATTTCACACTTTCACAGCCCTCACACCAGGCCGACGCAGAGCAGAGGAGGGAGGTCCACGACCTATGACCCCAGAGCCCACCTACTCAACCAGAGGCCCGCGGGTCACACGCAGCCCAGACGCGACGGACCAGCAGACCACCACAACCCGCAAGAAAAGTGTCTACAGTTTCACAGGCCCTGAATGTTACACTCAGCAGCATGTGACCCACAATGCATTGCTTGTGTCTACAAGTGTTAGCAGGTTACTACACAACAACGTGGGCCTCTCAAAGCAACACATATTTGATAAAAAAAAA